CAACGACTTCTACTTCTAGATAACGACTTCTACTTCTATCAAATATTTTGTAATTTCTATATTATATACAGTTCTATTGTGTTTGTTATTTTCTTTATTAGATTTTCCCAAGTCGGATTATGTATTTTATTTGGGGTATCTTGGAAGTGTATTCCGTATAAGTGTTTTGGTTGTTATAAGGTCTGGGGGAAAATCTGCTTTGTTTATCCACCTTCCTAATCCTATAATATGTGATTTATTCACATTTATTTTTGCCTAACTAACGTGATGCGTTGGATGAACCAGTGGTGGTTCTAAGTTAACGCAGAAAGGGTCAGTGTTGATTTTCAACAGAAAACAGCCCAGGGACCCATAAGATGCAGAATCGTGCAGAATATAGCTTGAAGGCAGAATGGTCTGGAGGAAACAGCCCACCAGGTTCCTAGGTATGAAGCTAGATGAACAGCTAAACTGGAGTGGATACATCAACTACACAGTGGAACGCACCAAACAACTCACCAACATGCTCAAGATAATAAAGGTTAGTGGGTGGGGAGCGCAAAAAAAAAAAAAACATGCTCACCTTTTACAAAGCATTTATCAGAGGGAAAATGGAGTGCGGTTCCATCGTGTATGAAGCGGCAGCCCACAGCAAGAAAGAAAACCTCGACAAAATACAAGGGCAATCACTAGCTATCATTTTAGGAACCAGCAAAAGTACCTGCAGGACAGCCATGGAAGTGGCAATGGGAATCACCCGCTTAACCTCCGAAAAGAAGACAGCTCGCGCTACACTATTTCATACGAGCCAATGCCTAGCAAGGGCACCCAGCCAGAAAAGCGTTCCAACCAAACATACACCAGTACGGAGACCGCAACACCCCTCATTTCAAGAAACCCATAGCCTGGCAGCTGGCAAGGACTATGGGAGATGGGTAAAACAGCTAAAGTATAAAAGAGTCATTTTGGATCTGAAGCTTCAACTTCATCATCCAAGATAAGTTTATCCTGAGGATCTTGTAAGACAGACTTCAGTAGAGATTAGGACATGATTCGATAGGGTAAGTCATATAAACTGCTATGTAATTTGTGACTCTTTCCATTTGGATGCTTTTTCTAGATGTTTTCCACGCAAATTTAGATGTTTGTAGATATTTTTGACTCCGTTTTGGATGTTTTTGTCAAAGAAAAGTGGCAACACAGCACGGCTGCCGGAAGTGGATGCGTTCTGTCCTGTTTACAGTTTACATCCGAAGTTGCTCTTGTACGCTCTCTTTCAACAGATTAAGCTATTATTTTAAGTAAGAATTGCCACCAGATTCAGTTGAATCAAATTTATAACTAATACTATGCTGAAATATTAAAATAAGAGATGTATTCTACGATTTTTAAAGGCTAAAACGTTTGACTTGTTTGTTGTAATATGTTAATAATTCTAAATTATGATTGTTGATGAGTAAATATAAATAATGATAGTCAAAACTGTCATATCATATTTAATTAGTAATGTCAGTAACAGTAATGACGATGATTGCTGACACCACTGAACATATTTAATTTATTACTTTTATGATTATAATTAAAGGATGAACTTCAAAACGAAATATCTTTTGTTGTTGTTGTACAAACCAGACTGGGAAGTATACAAGGCCGTGATGTACTGCCTAGATTGCAGTACACCTCCAATCCTCTATGCTTGACACCCTTTTTGTTTCAAGCTATACTACATAATTGAGGATTATCAACGTTCCCAACAAAGACTCTTGCAGAGCTCTACAGCTATAGCTTCAACTTCAGTTAATGAAGGAAATAGCGCAGACTTCAACTAGAGGTGCTTTTTATTATCAAGTATTCACAATAACATGAAAGATAAACACAATAAATGAACAATTTATTGTTGGTTCACTTTGTTCATATTTTTATTAGCTTTTAGTGTGAAAATATCTGGTCAATTGTTAAATATAATTGGCTATCCTTTAAATAACGGTTCCAAATGATCTACGCAGAAAGTTAACCCTAACAGAGCCTCATTACGTCCTGCCCTACAGACATTTAAAAGCTGTAACTTGGGAAATATAAGGGACGAAAAGTATGAGGAAATTCTACTACTTACCGATATCCTTTATACGTGAAAATTGTGGCACAGAAGTTGCAAATAGTGCCCGAATATCTCTTCTTTCTGGCTGTCCTCCATTTCAACAGGCCGCGGCTTGTCCGCGATTCTCCTTGCGGGCGAGACATAATCAATAATGCACGTTTTTAATGTACGCGCATGTCGCCTCGGGACAACTTCAAACCAGCAGCCGCCACTATGGCGCTCCACTATCCCGACGACCTCTTGACTGTGGCGAATGCGACCACGCCTGCAAAAGTAGCTCATGACTGTTTTCCTGCGACTATAGTGCCACCTCCGAGAGTACCCCTGCGCCGCTACGCGCGGCGTGGAAGGGGCTAAACTAGATGGCTAGGACTCATGAGCAAATACAATGGAGGAAGCTGCAGGAGAAGCGGTAGCTGCTGCTTGTGAGTCCTAGCCATCTAGTTTAGCCCCTTCTGCGCTGCGCGTAGCGGCTCGGGGGATACTCTCAGAGGTGGCACTATAGTCGGCGAAAAGTGGTCCACAACTCACATATAACTGTGGCCCTGTCGTAGGATAGCGCAATCGGGAGTATTCTTGCGTGTTGCTAATTTTCCATCCGTAGTTAATCCTAGTTTTGCCGCCGTTTATTCGTCGTAAAAAAAGTCCGTTGCGTTTCGCGAAAATGTGCGCAATTAATCCTACTTTTGACACGGTTGAATCGCCGCAAAAGAAATGCAAATTTTAGATATAAGTGAGGCTCTGTTTGGGTTTACTTTCTGCTTAGATCATTTGGGACCGTTATTTAAAGGAGAGCCATATAATTGCTTAAATGTATCTTATTCAATTCATCGCCAACCATGACCGCAACATTTAACTGCATTCACATTGAACAAGTTCACTAAAAACTGGACAAAAGATTATAGTTTTAAAACTTCGCCTGTAATTTCAAAAAATAACCACACAAATTCAAGATGGCTGCCATGATAATTTGGCATATTTGCATAATATATCTTTTTTTTTCATATGTAGCAACTATTCGTAATGGTGCTGTGAAAGTTTCAAACCACTATACCTATTTTAAATTGTTTTATGAATTTTATTGTAAAACCAGTTATTCAAGAAAAAAAGATTGGCCAAACACCCTTGGTAATTGGAGACAGTAATGCGCCAGATTGCTGGCCAGCAAAGTGTTAAAAACCATAATATTATTGCCACTGACTGTCATGTGATCTAATGTTAGGAGGCTTTGGCAGAGTTTATATTGAAGGAATGACATGAAGATGTGTCATACAAACATGTTGATTCTTTTTTATTGCATTCAATGGCTGTAAACTACAGCAGAAAATTATGGCTGTTCATCCACTTTTGAACTTTGGCCCTGTTCCAGAACTTGAGTTCTACATGCATAAATGTTTTACAGATTTGGCTCATTTGAATGCAAACTGTTTGTTCCTTGCTTCTCAGGCAGATCCAACCTCAGAAAATACTCTTAATTAGATGAGTTTTATGACATGCTTGTCGGTGATGGTGGGGCATGTTCTGTTTTCTACCCTAGGTGGGCCCCGAAAACCACTTAAGGAGGTGTGTTAATTCAGGTTCTTTTTTATCACTTCCTCAGTAGGTAGCATCATTTGGATATTTTCTCCAGGCCATGCCCGTGTTTTGGGAAATGAGCAGGCGGATAGACTGGCTGGCTCACCACTTTGTGGTGAATTGATGTATGACAAGTTAGATATTGTGAGGGCCCTTTGGGAATGGGTGAACAGTGCGGAGGCGCAGATAGATCATTCCGGTCTGAGGAGAATGGTGCTGCGAGGAGTTACTAGGGGATCTGGCCGATGCTTAACACTCAGGGGAAGGATAAGACGGATATACAATCAGGCAGTTACTTGCACCATCGGAATTGGAACTCTTTGCTTGCTCCTGAAGTTGAAGACTGAGCACTTATGAGAGTGCCCCCAGTACTGTGATGTTGATTCCTAATTCAACATTCAACAAGGTTGCCTTCCAAATGATTCGCAGTCCAATAATCCAGTTTAAAGAGGTTGTAGTGAAGGCTGTCTGGGATCAAGTAAACAGTGTGCCAGCCCAGACAGGGCATCCATGTCTGGGGAGAATGGTTCAGCTGGGAGTAATCAGAGGGTCTAGACCAGCGGTTCTCAACCTATGGGTTGCGAACTTTTTGTGGGACGAATGACCCTTTTACAGGGGTCGCCAAAGAACTTGCAAAAATATATTCGTTGAAGTTATGAAGTAGCAGTGAAAAATAAATTGTATGGTTGGGGGTCGCCACAACATGAGGAACTGTATTAAAGGGTCGCCACAACATGAGGAACTGTATTAAAGGGTTGCCACAACATGAGGAACTGTATTAAAGGGTTGCCACAACATGAGGAACTGTATTAAAGGGTTGCCACAACATGAGGAACTGTATTAAAGGGTCCCCACAACATGAGGAAGTGTATTAAAGGGTTGCCACAACATGAGGAACTGTATTAAAGGGTCCCCACAACATGAGGAAGTGTATTAAAGGGTCGCCACAACATGAGGAACTGTATTAAAGGGTCCCCACAACATGAGGAAGTGTATTAAAGGGTCGCCACAACATGAGGACTGTATTAAAGGGTCGCCACAACATGAGGAAGTGTATTAAAGGGGCGCTGCATTAGGAAGGTTGAGAACCACTGGTCAAGACTGTTTTCTAAACTTGGGGAAAAACAGGCAAACTTTTAATCACACTCCATCTGGCACCATCAGTATGGGAACTTTTTTTGGCTACCAAGGAGGAAGACGGAGCACTTATGGGAGTGTCCTGAGTGCAGTGATGTCAGTTCTTGATTGATTCAATCAGTTTAATAAATTTTCTTTTAACAATTTCATTTCAGACTGTTCAACTCAAATAATCAAACAAGAGAGGTTTTATAGGAAAGAAAGAAACATCATGGCTGCAATAAAGAAATTCTTTGAGAAGAGAAAATTAAATGTTAAATTCAAGAAAGCAGGAGAGGGTCACAAACTAAGTGAATCACCATCATCAAGTTCCACGCAGCCATCCACACAAGTCCAGAAACCGGCTGCAGTTCAGACCAAGGATCCTCAAACTGAGGCTGCTAGACGGGCGGCTGCTGAAGCAGCTCAGGCTAGAATGGAGGCCAAACAACATGCTAAACAAGGCAATATATTTTACCGTTTTTATATAGCTCTTTTTTTATCACTACATATAATAAACTCATAGAAAGACTGAGACAGATAGAAGGACTCACTTGACAACATCAGCATCACAAGCTGTAGTTACCATTCTGGGAAGCAGACCTGTCACCTTCAAATGATGACAGAACCTCGCTGCAGGATCGGGGTCTTTAAGGTGCAAGACCAACCAGGCACCCCTAAAAAATGTGTCTTCATTAGCCATGTCTGGTGTACAGCTTGAATCCGCAACTATTTTTATCATTTCCCCCCCCCCCCCCTTGGTAGTCTTTTTTATCATCATCGTCATCATCATCATCATGATCCCCTTCAGTGCTTGCCACACATAGACGTGCTAATGCTTTCACCACTTTATCTTTAAAAGTATTCCTTTTCTGCCAATGTAATTGTTTCTTCTGTGGTTCTTCTTTCTTTCTTTCTTTTTGTTCTCCCTGCCAGTGGTTTTCAGATGAGAAGGCCACAAAGTCTCTGTGAAGGTTGTGCATGTCTTCCTCTGATCCATACAGCCTGGGTTTTCACCAGAATGCCAACCAGCCAGACCTAGAGCGCGTATAGTTCCTCTCAAGGTTCCCATTGTCCTGCCTAATCTTTTCTTCCTTGGAGAACATCAGTTCGGAGGACCTGTTTCGGTTGCTTTCTGTCCATGCTGTCTTTATTTCCATCTGTTATCAATTGTTGATTGCCATTCCCCCTCACAAATCTGCATTTACTGTGATGTCTGGTTATTTATTGAAGTATCTATTGACAAATAATTGTAGATTACACCCCAAAAAAAAAATTTACTAAAATACTTTATGTTTCTCTGTGTTGGTTCAGGGGTTTCATTGTGGGGAAAACAAGAACAGAACCACTGCCTCACAAACAAGCGTTGTCATAGACATCCATTAATTGGGGACATCCTTCAAAGTTGAAGTACATCTGAGCGGGAAGGAACAACCAACTGCACACAAATAAGGCAGTAAAATGGGTGTGCACACAAAACTCAGGCCCTGGCACAACGCTAAAGTTCATTTAGATGAACAACCAGGACTTTCGACAAGAGCTTACAACCAGTGAACAGAGCAGAAGAAGAAGAAAAACTGCAGTTTCGACCAAGGATCCTCAAACTGAGGCTGCTAGACGGGCAGCTGCTGAGGCAGCTCAGGCTCGAATAGAGGCCAAACAACATGATAAACAAGGCAACTATGTGTTACACTTTTTATTTGAATCGACAGCAGTATTTGAAATATCTTTCGATAAATGTTTACTGTTGTTATGTTTTAACTCTCTGAGGCTAGAAGACAAGTATTTGGGACTGATATGTCAACACATGACTGGATAGGTGGTCATGATGCTGGCTTATCAGTCACTATGAGTCTCCGTACATGTGAACACTTCATTGTCAAGCCCTGTGCCTTGCGCCTTGAAGGCAGTGGGTTCATTTCATGGCTGCATCATTTGGTTCATGAGCGCAGTATATACAGAAGCCCCTGGGAACGCTGTAGTTATTGTGTTTGTGCTTTGTGCAACACTCTACAGATGTCTAGCCATTCTGCTGAGAAAGACCGTGCCATATGGGATCAAACCTGGTGCAGGGAAGTGGATATTCTCAACTTTATTCATATTTCATAATTGTTTTGTTGTTTTCTCTACAGCTGATTCAATGGTTGTCCAAAGAGCTAGAATGAAGAGAGAGATGGAATTAGAGAAGAAAAGACTATTGGAAGCTGAGGCTCAAGGTGCGGCCGCCAGAGCTGGATCAGTGGGTGTCATCTTAGACAGCGCCCCAGTACTGGAGTCTGTGCGCTTCCGGTGTCCTGATATTGGCCCACAGGTGCTGTCAAAATCAGAAATGGAAAATGCCATTCACAGATTCCTGTTGGATAGTTACGAGGATGAACCCGAGATGACAGCGGCGATAATGATACATACACTGAACAAGAACAAAGAGAAGGTGAAAGTTTGCATAGAGACACTTGTGAAGTACTTAGATAACATTATTAACAACCCAACTGAGGAGAAGTTTTGGAAGATTCGGCAGACTAATAAAGTCTTTCAGGAAAAGGTTGCAGGAATGAAAGGAACTGAGGAGTTTTTGCTAGCGGCCGGCTTCTCTTTGAAGACCCTTCCATTTGAGGATGGGGAAGCCAACTTTTATGTTTTTGATTCAGAGCTCGCCAAAGACGTGGAGCGCCTGTTGAACATGAAAGAAATTTTATTACACGCAGAGCCACTTCGGCCTGAGTTAGACAGAGATGTTCAAGTGTTTTATCCTTCAAATTCCGCCACAAAATTTGAAATACCTGATGATTTTTACAACGTTACCCCAGCGGAAGTGAAAAAAGAGCAGCAGCGACGAGAAGAAGCTGCTGAGAAACTGGGGATGCTACGCACCAAAGCCATGAGGGAAAAAGATGAACAAAGAGAATTGAGACGTTACCGTTACACACTCCTGCGAATCAGGTTCCCCGATGGTGTCTTGCTTCAGGGAGTCTTCAAATGTTCAGAAACAATGAGCAGTGTCTATCAGTTTGTCAGAGAAAATCTTGTCAATGATTTTATTCCTTTTTACCTGACCACGGGAACTGGCCAGAAGCTACAGGAGGAAGATGGTACTTTAGCTGAGCTTCTCCTTGCTCCAGCGGCTGTTCTCAATTTTGCTTGGGATCCAGAAATTCTGAAAGAAGCAGCTGCACAGCAAGGTCAGGCAATAACTAAAGTGCATTTGAAACCTGAACTCATGGAGAAAATAAAGAAGTTGTGAATATTAATATTATTTCATTTCTTTCCACTTCCATCTTTTTATTTCTTAAATAATAAGATTGCTGCATCATAATTTTGCTGGTGAATAGCATGTATTGTCTAATTTTTTTTTAAATAAATAATTCTTGAAAGGAAACATTGCATTTGAAAATGACATCTTTTTAAGTTACTGAAAGCTGCCTTTTTTTCTGCTATTGTTCCACCAATTCCTCCTGTGGGTTCCAGGGCCCCATTTGTTTGGGGGGGGGGGGGGGGGGAGGACTTACTTCTGACCTCCCCCCTTTTTTTTCAAGGCATGTCATAAAAGTTGACTAAGGGGTGTTTCCTTCAAAATCAAAATCAGCCTGAGAGGTAGGGGACCAACAGTTTGCATTCAAATAAGACAGATCTGTATAACAAATGGGCACAAGGCGTTCTGGAACAAGACTAAAGTCCAGAAGTAGACGAACAACCAGAACTTTCCAGTGGGGTTTTACTGCCAGTGAACAAGAGGAAGAAGAAGAAGATTATCAGTGAAGCGTAGACTCTTAATCATCTGAGCCAGGACCTTTGTAGATTGCTCATGGTTGCTTTCTAACTGCTCTCATTTTCTACAAGATGGGTTAGTTAGTCTCACATCACATCTTCCTAGCCAAATCTGATATAACATCCAAGGTAGGTAATATATACAGACGATTAAGCAAACAGCATGTATTGTTGAACTCATTATCATCAAATGCCCTGCCTGGTGGCGTAGCTGCTCACGTCTCTGCCCAGATCTCAGTCCTCTGTATTTTGAATCAATTCTGCTGATGATACTTTTCCATGCCAATGCTTCAAGCATCAAGTATCGTCTCTTTTGGTCTGCCTCTGTCTCTTCTACCGTTGATATTTCCAGTTATTATGATGTTCTCCAGTGCCTTTCTTCTCATTACATGACCAAAGAACACTGACCGCCTCTTTCTGATAGTTGTATATAGTTTTCTGTTTTCATTAGCCATTTTCAGGCAGTATCTGTGAGTAATTCTGGCTGTCCACGGTATCTGCAGCATGCTTCTCAGAAACCACATCTTGACAACCGTCAAGTTCTTCTTTATTTGTTCAACCTAACATTGCAGTACTGTCTAGTCTCACATATGTATGACCCATGATACAGTGAATATTTTCATTCATGCCAGTATCATCTTTTTTAAAATTCGTTTTTTCATTGAAAATTTTGTTTGATATTATTCGTCCTTCCTCCAGCAAGTCTTCAGATCAGGAAAAAGGAGATGAAGGGCCAATTCCAAGTGCTGAAATTAAGGAATGTCCATCCACTTGGGCAGAAATGCAGGTTTTCATCAAGAAATGTCCCCCCAAACATCACTACAGTTATTCAGTGTATCAGTTCATTTGATGACTGTGTTTGGACACTTTCGGTGGTGAGAGGGGGGTGGAGGATGACTTCTTAATGTCTTTAAAAAAGTGAGTCCTGGTGAATTGTCTGGAAATGCTAATGAATGTTCAGGATATGAATCACCAGAGGTGACATTACCTGATGTCGTAATAGAAGGTGACTTCCCATCTAGACAACAGCCATTGTATTTTTGTTTTTTCCCCAAAAGGTATAATTTTTTCTTCAAATTTTATTTATGTAGGTCTACAGTATATCCACCTAGTACCGATTGCTCTGTAAAAATATGGGTGCTTTTCCCATATGCCCGATGTGCTTAAAGGCGTAAAAAGGGATCTTTACTTTTTTTTTTTTACAGTGTATATACGTCATCAGGATGAGTAAATCTCTACAGTGGTGAACATGAAAATTAAAATGTATTTGCAATGATTTCTAAAATGTTTTTCTGGAGGATTTAAAACAAAATATTTTTAAAAATAAAGAATAGATATAAAAAATTCATGGCTGTTCCCTAAGGAATAGATTAATGTCAAATACTGGATTGTCACTGTATTCGATACTGGATGAGAATGTCCTTAGAGAGTCATTAACCTTAATCACTACATTTGAATTGTTTTGATTCAAGAGAGATTCTGAAGATAATGTAGTGGGTTTTTTCTGGCCTTCCACATTCACATGGGGATCTGTTACCTCTGCCGTTGACAGCAGTTTCTACTGTTAGGACAAGTTAGAACCCCACTCTTCTGTGTTTGAGTTAAGTAGATATACCCCGCTCTTCTGTCTTTGAGTTAGTTAGATATTGTTTAAAAAGTTTGACCGGATGAGTTATGACACATATTTATTGAAGACGTCCATGACAGATCAAGCAGATGCCCCGCTGGAGGCCAAAAATAATAATATAAAAAAGGAAAGTAGCATTTAAGGAAAGTTGTGATTGCCAAAGAAATACAAACAAGTTATGATGTGCATTTAGAAGCTAACCTCAGCATTTAAGTCATACAAAAAAGATGGAAATCCAGATTAGATCATTTTAAAGCCAAGTTAGGTTGTTTAAGATTGATTAGATTTTGTAGCAAAATGATTCTACAGACTGAGGAAGCCTGTCTGCACCAACTCTCATTTATCATCTTTAACAACATGCTTTTTTTAAAAATAGTGTTTTCCTGCCATGATTGCAGTCTATGGGATTAACTCTTTCAGTCCCAGGAGATTTAGCATTAATGGCCCAAGTGGTGATAAGGAGAGATGTAAAGTCAGCGCATTGTGTGTTCATTGGGCTTCTGGGTAGGAACCTATGAATGTTTGATGTGTTCTTTGGGACTGAAAGAGTTAATATCTAGAAGATGAGATTTGAATTGGAACAAATCCCAAAACTCTGTTAACTGTATAACACAGCAATATTGTAGCACTCCTTGAGTTACAAAGTAACTTGTAGTCCAGTGTGGGTTGGTGTTCAAGTGATGCATAACATGCGTGGTAGTTTTGCTGTTTTATACTTCCTTATGGACCTTGGTAGCATAAAGGAGGGCAGGGAAAAAAAAAGCGGGTGGGGAACCACTGTAAAAGATTCTTGATAGGCTCAGGATATAAGTGACCCTTGAATATGAAAGTATACGAGAGGGGAGAGCTGGCGAGAGGCCAAGTTTCTTTCTGGCAGGCAGTGAAGAGATCGACGTTCTGCAAGGGACCTGCTACAAAATGATTTTATGTCGTTACATTTAGGAGTGCAAGGCAGTTAAAACTAGAAGATATTTCAGCAACAAAAGTTGTAATAGTAGATATTGTGTATTTGTGTAGTATTGTCTAATTTATGTATGTGCTGGAGAAGGCTGCATAACTGCAACGTTCACATTTTGTTTGCGTTTGTTAAATTGTGAAGCTCACTGATATACTTTTTGTTCGGTTTGATATCTTTCCCTGATGGAAGACACAGTATGAGATGAAACATCATATTTAAAGTTTGAAGTTAAATGCAGATCGAACAAGAAAAGTTGTATCAGAGGAAGAGTGCAACCTGTGTACACCCAATGTGCTTTTGGAGCATTTACTATTTACACCTGAAGACAGGTGCGGCAGGGGAAGGAACTGCGGGGATGCCCTGTTTGCTAGATATTGATTCTGAATATGGATAATCTCATAATTTTCTACAGAATGAAGATTCACTTCTTGTGATTTATGTGTGTGTGTGTGTATGCATGCATGCATGTGTGACAGTAAAGGAAAAATGAATTACTTTATCTAGTTTGTTGCAACTAGAAAAATGGAATTCGTATATGGAGAGGTGGCAAAGATATTCTGATTTTATATTCGAGGCATTTACAGTATTCTTATGATTGTGATACACTTTTATATATTTGTATGTAATTTCCTGATATTTTTTGCAAAAGGTTGTATATTTGGAATTTATCTTTGAAATATTTTTGCTTAAACAACGTTTGAATAAAATTACATTGTTTTCAGTATCAGTTATTTTGAATACTCATATTCATCTGGAGACTAGCTTGGGATACCTGTTCTTTTCTGCTTTCACCCTTTATAGAGTCATTGTGTTGTTGTTTACAGCTAGGCTTTGATATCTGTACCTCGTGGCCCAACACATCTGATTTCAGCGAACCCTTAATTAGTCATCATGTATGACAGGATTGTTATGGACAATGACCCCCCCCCCTCCCCCTCCTCCTCCTCCCCTCCCCCAATGGGGCTCTCAGACTCACACAGGAAAGACGCATATAATCCTTTTTATGCTGGATGGACAGTTGTTCTGTTTTCTTCGTTTCCTTTGTGTTTACTGGCTGTACGCTCCAACAGAACATTCAAATTGTTCGTCCACTTCTGGACTTTAGTCTTATTACAGATCTTTAGTTTTGCCTGCAATTGGTTTTACATATCTGATTTTTTTTGGGTAAACAGAATGTTGGTTCCCCAGCTCACAGGCTGACGCACTACTCCAAAGGAAAATTGTATGGTGGGACACCCCCCCCCCCCCCCCCCCATGGAGCCCTGGAACCGGCAGGGGGAGGACTGTGAATCCAGTCTGTGTATATGCCACATGATAATGAAAGGGTGCTCTAAGAGTAGACTGACTAAAACCTAGTGATCTAAATAACAGGTTTGATAACTTTCAGTCCTAGTGACAAGTTTGTTAGTCAAAGTTTATTTCAGAAACATTTGACATCTCAAACCTCGTTCCCCTCTCCACTTTCAGATACATTGTGCTTGAGTTTCTCAGGTCAAAGTTCAAAAGTCATGCCATCATACCATTTCTCTAACCATCATCCCAGCCTTTGTGATCATCCATTTAGTAATCCAGAAAAAAAGTTTTTATTGTTTCAGTTTTCCAGTGCTTGCAACATTCATTGTAAAGAAATGAGATGACTACATTTAATGCATTGCAAAATTCACAGAGAAAATCATACTTAAAGATACTGTAATTTTCACTTTTTTGTGTGCATTTTAAAAAAAACATTTGTTCCAACCCTCTATTAAAAAACACAAAACAAAATGAAAACAAGATGCCCCTGGTAAATTCAACACATAATGTACAACTTTGCTAATATAATAGACTTCTAAAAAGAGAATCATCATGTAGGTGGGGTCAGGTTTTTCATCCAAGTGAAGTTTCTGGATAT